AGGAGCATTTGTGGGGAGGGTTTTTTTTTTTTTCCTTCCTTTTGAGTGTAATTGACATACGACATCGCATTCGTTTCAGATGTACAACGCAGTGATTTGACATATACATTACGCCGTGCTCCCCACAAGGGTAGCTACCATCCACCCGGTTACATTACCATCCCAATATCACTGACTCTATCCCCTCCACCGTGTGTGGACGCAGCTAAAAGGGGCTGGCTATGCACCTGCTAGAGGGCCCTCCCCGAATGCCGCCATGCCGGGGCCTTCATCCCGGACTTCCCAGCCTCCTGAACGGTGAGAAATAAATGTCTGTGGTTTCTAAGCCACCCAGTCTCTTGGCATTTTGTTACAGCAGCCCGGATGGACGAAGACGCTTCCTTTTTGTCACACTGAAATCTCACAGTGACTTGTAAGTCTGAGGAGTGTGATCTCCGACTACGTGTGGACACTTGGGTTTCAGCAGGTGACTTCACAATTTAAGTGTTAATGGCCCTTCCCGCCCCCCCCCCATTTCCTGCTTCAGTTACAAGTTTCCGGGGGGCACCACCACCGAGTTCTGCTATCCTGTCAGTTAAACACACGCACGCTCACTTCTGCTCGCAGGCTGCCAAGGGAAACTGGAGTCATAATCTGCACCCATTTCTGTCCTCGGAACAAGGAGAGGGAGGGTTAACTCCTGTTACCACACGTGCTACAACAGCTGCCTCCAGGAGGATGTTCTGCACGTCTGTATTAAGACACGATCACAACCACAGTCGGAATTTCATTCTCTTCACCTAAGTGCCTGGCCAGCCTCCCCTCACACGCCTCCCCTCAGACGTTCTCATCCTGCCCCAACTGCTTGTCCTCTGAAACTTGCCATCAAGACGGTCTGTCCTGTGACCACAGCCCTCTGCTGGGTTTCTCACTATTTGTTCCCACTACTTTTATTCTTCAATTCCACATGGAGCCAGTTTCCTGTTTCTTTTTTGTTATTTTTTTAACTTTTTTAATGTTTATTTACTTTAGAGACACACACACACACACACACACACACACACACAGTGCAAGCTGAGGAGGGGCAGAGAGAGAGAGAGAGAGGGAGACACAGAATCTGAATCTGAAGCAGGCTCCAGGCTCCGAGCTGTCAGCACAGAGCCCGATGTGGGGCTCCAACCCACGGACTGCGAGATCGTGACCTGAGCCGAAGCCGGACGCCGAATCGACTGAGCCACGCAGGCGCCCCGTGACTGATTGTTTCTTCTTTTCAGCCTTTTTCTGCCTCTTCTTCCTTCCCTCTCTGCCTGGTACTCTTAGGTTACCCTCAACCGCACTTAACCTCTCTTGCACACATTCATCCAACGATCAAGATCCCGATTGCATTAATCCTGTTCTTCCAGCTGTCCTGCAGGCTGCTAGAAGTTCCTTCAGAGCTCATACCACAAAACTGCCATGGTATTTCATCATGAAAATATCTCCCCTCCCCTCCCCGCTGCCCCCCACGTCTCCATTCCCTCACTCCCAGGAAATAACTCACCTACCACTTGACACGGAAAATAAAATCTGTCAAATGAGAATTTGCTCAGTTTCCTGCTACTGCCCTTACCTGAGTCCTTCCTCCTTGCTTCTTTAAGGGTGGAATATGTGACCTTCCTGCCTCCGGTCTACAGCTAATTCCTGTGCATAGGCTCTCTATCCCAATACCTCCCATCTGAGAGGTTTTGCATGAAAAACTATCTTCTCTATTGTCTCTTATTTCAATGTATCTCTCTCTGCAGGCTTCTTCCCATAAGCACTGGAACATGCTAGTGTCTTCCCCGCATAAAAGAAAGGGAGGGAGAGAGAGAGAAAAAGAGAGGGAAGGGAACAAAGGGAAGGAGGAAGGGAAGAAAGTAGGAAGGAGGGATGGAGGGAGGAAGGAAGTAAGGGAGAGAAGGAGGGAGGAAGGAAGTCCTTTCATGTCCCCTTCCAAGCGCCACTCTTCCTTTTCTCCCCTTCACAGGAAAACCCCTTCTGTGTTATGTATGTGTCTCTGTCTCTTTCCTCCTGTGCCTTCTTTAGCATACTGCTTGTGCAACAGCAGGTCTATTCGTCTCTTTTCTTTTTTCTTTTCTTTTCTTTCCTTTTCTTTTCTCTTCTCTTCTTTTTTCCTTTTTAAGTTTATTTATTTTGAGAGACAGAGAGAGCAGGGTAGGGACAGAGAGAGAGAGAGAGAGAATTCCAGGCAGGCTCCATGCTGTCAGCATGGAGTCCGATGTGGGGCCAGAACTCACGAACTGTGAGATCATGACCTGAGCCGCAACCAAGAGTCGGACGCTTAACCTGCTGAGCCACCCAGGCGCCCCGCAAGTCTATTCTTCAACTGTGTTTACACAGGCTTCAAGTAGAAAAACTACAAGACCCACTACAACTTTGATAACCTGCCTCCTAAGATTGGGCTGCAAGTTCAACATCAACCCGGATCTCGACAAGCACTTGACACCAGAGTCCTTTCTGGACTTCTATCCAAACAACAAGGACTCTGCCATCTTGTGCCTCCATGCAAGGCCACCCTACAAGGACATGCCTTCAAGTTCATCAACTGCAAGCAAAGATGACTCTCGCCTCCCCTGTCAGCTCCCCGGGAGCATCTTCAAGCTCTGATTCCACTTCAAGCACTACCACTCCCAGTGGTGATGGGCCAATAGATAGATGGATACATCTTTAGGATTAGAGCATGAGCATGCCTTCTGCAGGTGAAAACCATTTGTCATTTGAAAAGCAGCTCCCGACATACTGCTCAGTCTCTGATGCCTGAACGTGCCGAGTGAATACTCGACCAGACTTCCCATGATGAGCTGAGTACTGTTCTATTTATGAAGTAAAATATCAGGTGGGCTTGGCAGCAACCCATTATACAATGGCTAGGATACATTTGGGATCAGGTTGGAACAGGACCAGAAGTCAATTACATAACACTCCATCACTTACCTGTGTTTTGCCAATGTATCTCTCTCGATTCACACCGTTGGCCCATTGGGCATGACTAGCTGACAGAAGAGAAACAAATCACAGGCTTGGATGACATATAGATCGGCTTGATACGATGGAACGAACTGACTTCTACCCCACTCAGTCACCTTCAGGGATGCCCCTAAAAGACAGCGGTGAGGGGAAGCTTTCCCAGCGTTTTGAGCAGTACACTCGGCAGTGTTCTTTGTGTGGAGGCAGAAATAGGCTGAGGTAATAATATACATAGACTCTTGGTCAATGGCAAAAGGTTTGGTTGGTTGGTTGAGGCCTAAAAGAAACAAATTTGGACAATGGCTGACAACATGGAGGCTATGTTCTCACTACAGCTGATGTAGCCACTGCCACAGCTGAACGCCCAACCTACCGGAAGAGGGCAATACTGAGTTCTGAATACACCCCGCTGAAAGGGAGAGCCAGCTACTTTAAACTCTACCCTGGAGAGAGCAGTGATTTAGATCTATAATATAGAGTCCCAGCCTAGGGAAATAAAAAGATACGGGACCTCCAAGCGTATTTCTTTTACCATTATTTTATTTTTATCATTTTTATGGTCAACAGATCTCCTGAGTCTACATCCTTTTTTAAAGTGCATCAGCTAACATTCATCCTTACCCAGCAAGAATATGGAGATAAACACTAGCCCTGAGTGGCTACAAATTCAGCTGAAGTGTACATTATAGGCAAATACAGTGTTTCGCTGTGGGCCTCAGCTGTTCAGGAGGCCCAGCGTGCCCTAAGAACACTCCCCCCATTTTTAGCAGAGCCTGCCACGTTCGGTCTGCAAGGCTCAGGTCTGCTGTGGACTTCTACACTGCTTCCGTCAGCCCTTCCTGTCTCCGGACCCCAAACCTGCTTAAGCTAAGCTGCGAGCCGGGAGCTAAGCTTCAGAATCGCTGGATTAGTCTGGAAGAGTTAATGCACTCCAGAGTACTTCATTTTCTCCTAGGGAGTCATCCGCTCATTGGTAGGAAATAGATGAGTAAGCAGTCATTATCAACTCCGCAGGGTAGTTCTAGCACAGGGGAGCAAATAATCCAGAGGACGACATGCACTCAAAGCTTATTTATTGTGAAATAAAGGAGGCAAGCAGCATTTTACTGAATAGAAGTCACATCATGACATCACCGATCGCTCTATTACTTGCATCACACATTTCCCGTGGGCATCACAGGATTTCTTTTCAGGATTTCATAGTACACATTTCAGGTAGAAGTCCTAAGTAATCGGTTCAGATGCTGTTACTGGCCTTGACATCATTTTCTTCCTGTTTCTATACATTAACAAAAATATTACGTCCTAACCCATAATTACCAACACCTTCGATCAAAAGAGTGCTTTCACCTTCATCAAAATACAAATCAATATATCAGTCAGCACACCTTTACTGAATAAACCTTATAGAGAGTGCTGCCCTAGGTGTAGCTGGGCACAGAATGAGTGTAAGACATGCTCCAGGTCTTAGAAAGCTATCATTTCACCCACCCTTTCAGTACTAGACATGTTTCCCATAAAGAATTATATTACTATAGCTTAAGAATTCCAATTGCCACTTAAGGATCATATAAGAAAAGTAGAAAATTTCCAGAAATTATCGTTTAACATTTTTTTAAGAGTCGAAGACTTTTAGCCTTTTTCAAAATAGAAATTTAAGTATGTTGCCTTCACAATTTACTCAAATTTTCATTCAAATGGCATTATTTCTATTTACAGTTTTAATACAGTTATGCATGAAACCAAACTACAACTTCTTAACAAGCGCCTCTTTTTTTTTTAATCATTTAAACATTTTCTATAAACCACTTTTCAGGTCTCTATATCAGTGAGAGTGATGTCTGATTCTGGGTCTACTCTTACATTACCAAACACACCTACCATTTCGACATTCTCTTGAATTAAATCCTAAAACAAAGTTAAGCAGTAGAGCTCAGGTCTAGATGCTTCCAGGCTAGTGGATGGGGGCAATCACTCTTCCAGAAGGCCCTTGCCCTCCTTAGGCCCAACCGATGTCATTTTCTTTGTTTGAATTCAATGTGGCATTGTCCTTCTGGCTGTTGGACACCTATCAAATGGAGAGAACTCTAAAAGCAGAAATGGAGAAGAAATACAGACATCAAGAGACATAAGCCAACAGTATTAGACCAAAGGTTTATTCAATGGTGATGATCTCTAAAAGGTACAGAGTCTAGATTTGAAAGAGTGGAAGTATTTGCTTGATGCGTTTCAAAATGTCAGGCATCATTTTTTAGCCTTCCATTCAAGGAACAGAACATTTGCAACCTGTTCTATCAGCCTTGAGGGCTGAGGGATAGTGAAGAGCAAGGAAATGGTAATCAGTTCAATTTAAATCCTCAGTCTATGGTCAAGTTTGAACACAACAAGGCATAGAATGGGCTTCTTAATAAGGACGTTCTTAGGGGAGTTAAGAGGATGAGTTGCAGGGTTACCAGGGACTCCTTGAAGATGCAACAACAAATTTGTGTGTATGGAAAGTTATGTTCTTTTCTAGAAAGGGATCCATAGGTTTTGTGAGACTATTTAAGGATCCGTGACCCCCCAAAAGGCAAAATGGAACAAAGCCAACCAACGGGATGAGAAAAACTCCACAGTGTTAGCAAAAATGTGCTTGTTTTGGCAAGACAATTGAAGTTGGTCTTATAAATGCCCCAAACGAATAGCTCTCATTGTCAGTATCTGGACACTGCTCCCCGGTCACAGATCTTGTAAAGTTCATTGTTTGCTTCTCAATGAGAGCTGAAATTAATTTTCTTTTTTTTTTTTTAAATTTTTTTTTCAACATTTATTTATTTTTGGGACAGAGAGAGACAGAGCATGAACGGGGGAGGGGCAGAGAGAGAGGGAGACACAGAATCGGAAACAGGCTCCAGGCTCCGAGCCATCAGCCCAGAGCCCGACGCAGGGCTCGAACTCACGGACCGCGAGATCGTGACCTGGCTGAACTCGGACGCTCAACCGACTGCGCCACCCAGGCTCCCCTGAAATTAATTTTCTAAGACTCTTTGAGGTAAAATAAAGCACAGGGCTTTTGAAAAATTAAAATTGGGGATTCTAGCATTTGATTTTTGCTACTACAACAAGTATATTTCTTTGGGGAAGCTGATTTCCAAGCCCAGCGATGCCCTTGTACTTGACAAAAGAGTGTTCAGAACATGCCCTGGCAACCCATCCCCTCCCATCTCTACAAGAGCCTGGTACTGTGAAGGCCATTTCCTGCATTTTCTTGATCACCTCATTTTGCAATTTATTAAAATAAGTCCAATAATTAAATAATTTTAATCGATCTCTTTCTAGAATGAGAATTGCGACGTGAAATGCCACTTGAGATCATGAGAATTCACTTAGACATATACTTTTTCTAAACTGAGATAACATTTCTTTTTTTGAGATATTTCTCCCAAAAATGTTCTTAGTAGTGTCAAAACAGAAATAGGATGTGTGTAGAATAGTATGATAAATATAACTAATGGAATTCTTAGCTAGGAAAAAGGACTGGGCAAAATCTTGCCTAAGGAACTGGTCAAAATTACAGACCTCTAGGCTTAGGTGTTACGGGGTTTGGACAAACGTCCTCCTTCTAATCTGATAAGGATTCTCATGTCCTCTCACTGGTGGTAAAATATTTGGAGGGGGAATCAGTCCTGGGCAAAACTGTGACATCTAACTCAGTGGATCAGGAACTAGCATTTGGGGAGTATACGCCTGGCCCTGATCTTCATTTTGACAATGAAACCATACGTGCTAAGAACCTTTGTGACGGGTTTTTTGATTTCCCGTCCATGGTAGGATTTTGAGGGCTTTTCATCCTGGTAGTTACTTGTACTCAAAATAGAAGTGCAAAAGAAATCAGGGGAAAGTGCCGAAATGTGCATATTTATGAGTAATACAACATTGTCTGTGTCACTTAGGCACTTACATAATTTCTATTGAAATGTCACCCAAGAGTTTTATTTATCCCTCCATACATTAGCCTTATTATATCAAGAGTAAATCAAAGCACAATATGCCATGTGAATAGCCCTGAAATTGCAATGCTTGATTTCTGAGCTCCATCCTCAGTTGAAACAGCACCTTTTATCCAGAATCTTCAAAATGACTTCCAAACATTTGAAACCAATTGAACTTTCCCTTATCACCTAGGACAGTGGTCCTCAAAGTGTGTTATCCAGATCAGCAGCATTAGCACCACTGGAAATTGGTTAGAAATGCAAATTACTGAGCCCCTCCCTAGATATCCTAGATCAGGTACTCTAGGGGTGGGGCCCAGTATTCTGTGTTCTAAAATGCCCCCCCCCCACCTCCCCAGGTCATTCTGATGCTTGCCCCAGTTTGAAAGCCACTGGTCTAGGAGAACAGGCCTGTAGAAACACAGAGGAGTTAAATGACTAGAATATTGAATGGTCAGAGGAAGGAATAAGGTCATGGTCTTTTCACTTCTGTTTACTGTCTTTACTGCTGCTCACTGTCTTTGCTGCTCTCTGCTATGGTATTGCTTCCCAAATGGACCAAGGGCTATGACTTGCCTCCAAAACTGATGGGTCACTTTTGGACTCACAGACGTGCCTCTCTAGGGAAACAAGCCCAACATCAAGGCCATGTCTATTTAGCACAGGGAACAGGGTCAAAATTGGTAAATTCACTGAGGAGCTCCTTAACACTGTAAATGGTGGAAACACTGCTATTTGGTCCCCGTCTTGTGACACTGTGGCACATACATTAGACCCGGAAGTAAGGGAATTAAGGGGCTATCTTCTCAGTCTGGTTTCATGTAAGACCCCTGTTAAAATCAAGTCTAGGTGAGGAAATTAGCAGCTCATCTCTAGTAATTAAAACTAAGGGGTTAGAATTTATACCACATTTGAAAGCCATGGTATTCAAAATTCCAAAAACACTTACCTGTTTTGGTAATGGGTCCAGAAGACTACAGTCATATTTATAAAGTATTAAAATAATACATATTTGAATCTGTAACAGCGCAAACCACCTGAAAGAATAATATGAAATTGTCAGTGAAAGATGCATAAATCTCTACCAATAGAGAATATTTAGAAAGCACACATACAGATTTCAGAGCAAGTATATTCTTCCACACAATATGAACTTTAACCATCAGAAGGATAGAGTAAGGAAGAATTTATTCTTTTCTTTTATAATTCTGTCTACTGCAGAGGGTAGATGGGATCATTAAATCGCTTAAAAATGTAGGTAAAATGCTTAGCCAGTGAAAGCACTCAATTAATGAGGGCCCAGGTCTCCTTCAAAGTTTTAGATCAGTGCTTCCCGCCATGGTTGCCATTAGCTACACATCGCTATTTAAACATAAATAAATTAAATTTAAACAAAGTTGAAAATTTCAGTTCCTCAGCTGCTCTAGCCATATTTCAGGTATTCAATAGCCATACGTGGCTACTGGCCTCCCTACTGGACAGCACATCTTTAGAACATTTTGCATGATCACAGAAAGTTCTACTGGACACTCTTGTCTGATTTAGACTCTTTTTGCCCATGAGAAATTACTGCCTGGATGTTCTATAGGCATCTCAAATTCCCCATAACTACCAAATATTATTACTTTTGTGATCGCTCACTAAGATGTCTCCCAACTTTTTGATCATATACCCTATAATGAAATATTTGAGCATACCCTACAATATATTGATACTCATTTACTTATAAAGTATATACACATACTACTATATTAGTTTGCTATATGCTTTGTAAGACACATACAAATAGAAACTAAAAATATTGAGAGAAAGTATAAATGGAATTCTGCTTTTTTTTTTTTTTTTTTTTTTTTTTTTTTTTTTGTGCATCTCTGTGGGTTGTTTTGAGTTCTCCTCAGGGTAGGCAATGCCTTTAGGGGCCATAACTCTTAGTGAATACGATGAGTCCAACAGGTCAGAAAATTGGAAGTCATCACAGACTCAATCCCCTTCTTCGCTCTCTATATCCAATTAGGCACTGAGTCCTTTTGTTTTATCTTCTAAATACTTCCCCAATCCCTCTGCTTCTTGTCTTATCCCCAGTCCCTCCACTATTCCCTCAGTGCAGTTCATCATGATTTGTCTCCTGGATTACCAGATTAGCTCAGCTTTCAGATTAATTTCGTTGCTTCCAATTTCACTTCCCTCCACTCTGTCCTTCACTTTACCACTGGAGTGAACTTCCTAAAACATAAATCTGTCACTATGTCCTCAGTGTACGTAGACACACACACAATCTGCTGATGCTTCCCATTTCCTTCCAATTGACAACAGAGAATACAGCCTTTGAAGATATGCCCCCACCTCTCTCCCCAGCCTCCTCCCCACTGATAGCTCCTCTTCGACACCCATGTTCTAGCCACCCCGTGTACCTGACAGTTCCCGAATGGTGACACTCTCTTGCAAGCCCTTCCCCTGCCCAAGGCTCGGTCTCCTCTGGAGGCATTCTCTGACCACTTGCTTCTGAGATGAGATGCCCCTCCTCTCCACTTCTATGGTCCCCTGTGCACATCTCAGCCACACCACCTATTGCACTGAATTGCAATTGCTTATCGAATTGCCATTTCTCTCCTAGAGGAGGAACTGTATTGTTGGGACTTAACAGTACAGAGCATACTATTGGTGCCTAATCACGTTACCTGAATGAATGAATGAATGAATGAGTGAATAGATGATGGAAAGGATGCCTTCCATAAAAGAGATTCAATTTCCTGCCCTTTCTAGCTCTCTTTCTCTGCATTTCTGTGGCACTTTACACATTCCTCCACCAATGTCCTTACCCTCCAATCCTACTATATCCTACCATGTTACAGTTAATGGTTTGTATGTCTGACTCCCCTTATAAACTACAGTATTCACAAACAGTAGCAACCATGTTCTACTCATCTTTGAGTCCTCAATATTTGTTGATTGAGTGAACGAATGAATATGAATGACCTGATATTCACCTCAGGTAATTAGATTTGTTTCCTAGTAGTATTCTTGAAACATCTCGAAACATTCTTCAAGCATCTTACTTCAAATGAAATCGGGAGTACTCCACATGTTGTTATAACCCACTTGGATGGCACATCACTTCTTCACAAATATTTGTGATGCATATTTAACCCTACTTATTTATGAGTGCTAAAAATAATTTATTCTAAGAGACTATCAATGGCTATGAAATAGAACATACACAGTCTTTGCTGCTTCAAATCAAAGAGCAATGCCAAGAAAAAGCAATTTTGCTAACCCATGTACAGGTTCAGAATTTCTCACAACTAAATTTCTGCCAGACTTCTAACGAATGGAACTTCTACTTCTGGCCATGTCCTGCCCTAAATAACTCAAAAAACGGAGCAAGATTCACAGGATAGGATGAAAATTCCCAAGAGAAAAGGAATCAATGAGGTGAACTCTGCCAGAGAGTCTCCCGTTCTCCGTCCATGGCCGTTTCCAGGTCACGTGCAAGGAGAAAGCCCACGCAGAACTGGACAGTCTCACTAGATTAAAAAGGCAAGAGATCAAAGTTCAGGGGAGCTAAAGAGACTGGAATTTGCAGGCAAGAATAAAAGAGAGGAGGGAGTTTCACAGAGAGAACAAGAATGCTTCAGAGAGCCACATGGGGGTCTCCTGGAGTATTTGGTTGAGTACTAATCTCAGCATGTGTAAGAGGCAACTACTGAAGTGAAGATGAGAGATGAAAAAGAAAGCTAAGGAACAATAAGCTGAATAATGCCCAGGGCTCCCACAAGATATGGAAGTCTGTTCCCACATGCAAGGGTGAGGAGATCTTGTAACACATGGACAATTGAATAGGGTCTTTAAAAGTTATAGCCTTATGGAGCACCTGGGTGGCTCAGTTGGTTAAGCATCTGACCCTTGGTTTCAGCTCAGGTCATGATCTCACAGTTCATGAGTTCAAGTCCCGTGCGGGGCTCCACAATGACGATGCAGAGCCTGATTGGGATTCTCTCTCTCCTTTTCTCTCTCTGCCCTTCCCTGCTCTCTCTCTCAAAAGAAAAAGAAATAATAAACTTAAAAAAATAAAGGTTATTGTTTTAATTAGAAGTGCATTATATTATCTTAAATTAAACGCCACTCCTGCTTTTACCTTAACAAAGCTTAACAACAAGTCTTGAAAACTCATTTTTCTGAGCAACTTACTACATGCCACATTAAGGCTAAAACTAAAGAATACAATAAAATCTAGTATCCATGACACTTAAATTTTTTTTAATGTTTATTTATTTTTGAGAGACAGAGACAGAGACAGAGAGAGAGAGAGAGAGCAAGAGTGGGGGAAGAGCAGACAGACAGGGGGACACAGAATCCGAAGCAGGCTCCAGGCTCTGAGCTGTCAGCACAGAGCCCAATGCGGCGCTCAAACCCAAGAACCGTTAGATCATGACCTAAGCCAAAGTTGGACACTTAACCGACAGAGCCACCCAGGCAACTCCTAGTATCTATAACACTTAAAATTCATGTCTTGCATTTATTCAGAAATGGCCATGCCTAGAATAAACAGGGAAATATGAAACATGGGTGAGGGAAAAATCATTCAAAAGAAACAGACCCAGAAGTGACAGATACTGTAGACAGCTAGTTAGATATATTCCACATGTTCAAAAGGTAGAAGCACAATGAAGAAAGAAATGGAAGATAAAAAAAAAAAAATCAAACCTAACTTGTAGCAATGAAAATACAGTATCTTAAGTGAAAATACACTGGATGGAATTAACAGAAAATAGGACACTACAAAAGAAAATATCATGGAACTTAATAGAACACTGGGAAATATCCCAAATGAAGTACATAGATTAAAAAGGGACTGAAAAAAGAAATAAACAGAGTATCAGTGACCTGTAAAATACCATCACACAGTCTAACATATGTGTAATTTGGAGATACAGAGAAGTGGGCAGGAAAAATATTTGAAGAAATAGAAGCTGAAACATTTCCAGATTTGTTAAAACTGTTAGTTTACAGAGCTAAGAAGCACAATGAAGCAAAAGCAAAAGAAACATAAAGAAAACTATTCCAAGACAAATCAGAATCAAATCTTTAAAAAAAACAGTGACAAAGAAAAAAGTCCTAAAAGCAGTGGGGGAGTGGGGAGACACAAGGAAGGAAGGAAGGAAGGAAGGAAGGAAGGAGGGAAGGAAGGAAGGAAGGAAGGAAGAAAGAAGGTCACAGGTCACAAACCTCTCATCAGAAATCATGAAAGCGGAAGACAACAGAACAACATCTTTGAGGGGTGTCTGGGTGGCTTAGTTGGTTAAGCCTCTGAATCTTGCTTTCGGCTCAGGTCATGATCTTACTCTTCGTGAATTCAAGCCCCGCATTGGGCTCTGATCGGACAGTGCAGAGCCTACCTGGGATTGTCTCTCTTTCTCCCTCTCTCTCTGCCCCTCCCCTGCTCACTCTCTATCTCTCTCTTAAAATAAATAAATAAACTTAAAAAAATTTTAAAAAACAAGAACAACATCTTTGAAGAGTTGAAAGAAAAAAAAAGTACACATTGTTCTTTATAATAATACGCTGACTCTATTATGAGAGAAACTTGCCTTGATGATTTGGGGGTAAATATTTAATTTCCTCTTTATAGGTTTAAAGTATAGTATCTTGTGGGGAAAAAATGATGGTCTTTGAGACATATGTGAAATAGAGAAAGAAAGAGAGATTTGAAATGGCAGTCAATTATTGAGTAGAGGATTTAAAGGATAAACATGTGTACGTATCTTAAGAGAGTGGGAGATGGTGTGCCCATGCCCAGCACAGGGACTGTTTTGGGGATCTCAAGTCCCAAGGACAATGGTGGACAGTTGTCCTGAGAGCCCCTGGTGTTATTCTACACTCAGACTTTGAGAAAGGTACTCATGGAGGAAGGGAGATGGGTCTTTGAGTGAAATCGACACCCCAGGCGCAGGATGAGGTGAAGAGGACAGTGACCACTCTGTGATTATTTTGCAATAGACAAGCACAGCCTGTGTGCAAGGGCCAACGGTAGGAATGG